ACTTTAGGAAACAGCTGTTTCCATGAAGATCGTGACTGGGATTGCTGAACCTGATGAACCCATGTGTTTCTGGGTTAATCCCACCCAGGGTCTCTTTGCAGTACCCGTCTGCCTTATTTCTGTCTACCACCAAATGACAACTATTAAACTGAGTATATTTAAAAAAGAAAGGAGGTGAGAACAGATGGGACGGAGGCGGTATTTGGAGAATTATGCTGGAAGACAACTGAATGAGAGCATTCAGTTACAATAATAACAATTAAATAAGTTATAATAGGAACAATTTAATAAAATATAAGTGAACAAAAGGAAAAACGATAAGCTGGCAGAAGACAGTCTGGCTTCCTTAAACCATCAGAGTGAGAGCAAATAGTAAGGAGGGGTGAGCCCAATGAGAGCGAACATCTTCCACAGAGACGGGAAGATTGACGGGTAAACTGACAAGTTGTGAGCAGCAGGGGATGTTTGGGCGGGTTTCAGACGTCACCTGTGATGTTGATAAGAAGGCCCTGAACAACAAGAGTTGTTCTGAGTTCTCCATGCTGGTCTGAGTGATCTTACCTCTGTTTGACCCCCCCGCCCTGCCGGGTGAACTTGGCTGATCCCGGTCAGCTCTGAGCATTAGCTATCCATCTTCTCGAGCGCTTATTTGATTAGACTGGGCACTAATGATCGATTAAATCACAGGCTAGTCAGGAATCGTATGGCTTGTTAGGAAAGGGGCAGCAAGAGTTCAGCTAAGTAGATTGAATATTACAAATACTGTAACAGCTTAACATGTTGTAACGTGGCTAATGTTTCACGTAGAGCTGGTGATGTCAGGTTTTTTCTTTTTTTTAAGCGCTCCCTCACGCCGCCGTGGTGCTTCATGAGATAATTTTTCAGAAGAAAAGTAGAAGTCCCTCAACAATTGGTTTTGATTTCCCCTCACGAGTCACGTCGTCTCGCAGCATTGGCATAATTGTGCAATCTCTTCCGAATCCCTAATTACGTCTGTCTCGTTTGGATAATAATCACGCATTCCCTTTACCCTCTGCATCCTTGTTTTTTTTTCCTTTTTCCCCTCCCTTCTCCTACTCTTTCTCCCTCTTTTAATTTTTCCTTTTTTCCTTTTAGTGATGTACTGTGAGAGTTTGCTGTCAAGTTTCACTTCATATGAGCCTAATTAACGCCCCTGTTCAGGCTCATTTGGTCAAAGAATACAGAAAACCCGGAGTTTTTCCTATACCCCCACCTCCCTTTCGGCACATTCAAAGCAATTCATTCAACTGTCACTGCAGGAGCTTGCGATGCAGAACCAATTACCTTGGCCCCTCTGAGTTGAGATTGATCTTTTTTTTTTTCCTCGCCTCTTCCCTCCCCAACCTTTAAAGTATAAAAAAAAAAACCATGGTAAACTAAATAAAGGTTAAGAAAGGTCTCAGCGTCACCTTTTTGTTTTGAGTCCGTAATTGGGCATAAATGTCAGAACATTGTAAGCTCACTTCAGGTTGCTGCCTTTAATGTGCTCATTTTTATGAAGGGGTGGGGGTGAAATTGAGTGGCGTAATGGCCCTAACAACATTATTATGTCTGCTTGTCCCGTCGCAGAGAATTAACCATTTCCCTGGGATGGGCGAAATCTGCCGAAAAGACTGCCTAGCAAGAAACATGGCCAAGTAAGTTTTTTGTTCCTCTCTTACAACACTGGCTAAATTAGAAGACGAGTCGAGTTGCAGATGTGCGTGAAAGCCTGCATGCGCTACAAGGTACAACAGGGTGTCTGCAGCATTGCACACTTAGCAGACAAATAAGTAGACACTGCAGCGAAAGCACAACCTTTAAAAACTACAAGTGGCTGACTCTAGATCGTTATAAAAGGAGAGAATAAAACACATTTATGTTACTCTCTTTTTTGTCTCTCCAGAATGATCAAGTGTCAGCCTCAAGAGTACAGCTTCATACCCAAAACCTGGATCTTCCCTGCTGAGTACACTCAGTTCCAGAACTACGTCAAAGAGCTACGCAGGAAACGCAAGCAGAAGACCTTTATAGTCAAACCTGCCAACGGAGCCATGGGTCACGGGTAGGTCAGAGGCTAGCGAGCGCTGGTGCAATCTGTACGCATCCAGAGGAGAGCAGAGCGAGCAGAAGGAGAGTAGCTGAAGGAGATGATAAGTAAGTGGGTGAAGGAGGAAATTAGCGCTAGAGCAAATGGAGGACAAGCACAACAAAACAAGGCAATAAGAGGTTTGTGACCCTGACATGGGTGTCTGTGGAAATAGCATTATAGCTGCGACCAGATTGAGTATTTGAGCTGAGAGGGTGTGGTGAATCTCATTGTGGGCTTCATTGTCCTCGATGGTCACACTCTCCATAAATCAGAGGTTATCGCCGCCGTTGGAGGACACACACACATGCACACATGGTTGCTGGCAGTTACTGTAGTTCCCCCCCTGAAGGTCTCTGCATGTGATTATTGGAGTCCTTTATGAGGCACCATCAGCAGAGACCAGTCAGATTAGAAAATGGACAACGATGGCTGCTGCAGGCGACTCCGTCTCTCAATAGCATCACTTTATCAGAAGATGAGCCGGCTGTGGCACCTGAATGCATATTTCATACTTTGCGGTCCCGTGGGCTGAGTGCCTCTCATGCTTGTGATGTCATGCGCCCGTTGTATGTTTTGACTACAGGAGAGTTGAAACATGAAGAGACCAAATGCAAGCACAGAGACTTGGATTTTTTTTAAATGTATAAGGTACACGTGTGCACTGTAAGCAAGCGAAGAGACAAAACCCTGGCAAGCAACACAACTGACCTAGTTTGAACCGTTTAGCTTTTGCTGATGAGCAACTTGAGTAACTTTCAAAGATGTAAACAGTGATGTTTTTGGCATTATATTGAGAGGTGTGCCTAAAGGAGGGGCAGACAAAAATTATGCAAAACAGGGTGCGTTCAGTAGATCCTGAGGAGGTCCAGGGGGTGGAGGGGCACAGCGCTCTGATGATGCACCTCTTTCTTTTTTTGCTATTTAATATCAAAGAGAAAAAGGTAAATATCCTAAATTGTATTTCATATTCTGACATGAGCCGGGCAGTCAGGGTCGATTTAAGCTGCGTGGCGCTCACAGTCACACAGCCGAGCGGAAATGAAGCGAAGTGGTTTCAAATATTCAGGCCAGGCTGGTTTTTGTAACGAATACAGTTTTATAGGATAGAAAAATAAATAAATGAATAGATGGAATATTTTTAGAGGCTAAAATATGGGAAAATAATCTGGTTTGAATGTTGCACCATTTCTATCTCAAGCTCTGTAGAATATGTTGAAATTTCTGAAAATACCAGATATTTATTTAATATCCTTTCTGACTTATTATTCTTTGAAAATATGATCCCTGAAGTGTGTGTATGAAGAAATCCTTTGGAGTGCCATCATCACTGGCGCCAATAGGTGGGGATATTGAAGTACAAATAACTCAGCGTGCTTCACCTCTCCCTCTAATTCTCTTTGAATTTGTCCTTTCTGGTATAATGTGCGCATTACTTATAACTCCATGCTGCACTAAGCCCTTATTTATTAAAGAATAAAAGGCAGCAAAGGCTGAATTATTGCAATACATTAAGAATATGAAAGATGATGAGTTTAGCTCGACCACTCAACGGCAGGCGGCTCACAAGATTAGATTTTTCTCTTTTTTTTCCCTTTTTTTTTTTGCATGGTGTGACGCGGCAGGAAATTAAGTTATATCTACCCCCTGTAATTTATTTTTCCGTCAACCAACTAAATGAAGTTATTGTTTGTGTCTGAAGCCCAGCTTGTTATAAGGGAAACAAAATAAAAGCGCGTGCGGAGCTTAAAAAGGCGAGATCCCCTCCAGTGCCAAATTAAATAGGCAGGGGAGAGTGGGCCGTGATTATCTGACACCCCGGCTCATCAATCATGTCGTCTCCTCTGCTACTTCCACTCGACTAACTAACACTGTTAACCCCGTCTTCATCATTCAGCTTTCTGTCTGCCTGTTTGGAAAGCCCCTCACATCGTCCATGAAATCCCCCCCTCCACATAAAAACTGAAGAAACTTCTCCCTGTTTCGTTTGAGTGCTGCAACAAACAGGCAGGTAAAACGCTCGTCTGTAGTAGAGAAGCCTCGTAGTTGGCAGGAGCTGCCGCTAATTGATGAACCCAAAGTAACAGCGACATTATACTCGAGTAGATCTACAAGTAATGATTTTTTTTAATCAAGCTTAGCTAAGACCTTATTTGATCATAACCTGAAAAACTAAATCTTAGTAACCCCCCCTTGACGCTTATCAACAACAGTGCAGTGTTCTGGTAAGCTAGGAGTTGATGAAGTTGACTGAGCAGCTAAACTAAATAAGAATATATCCTGATGACCTGAGCTCTGGTAGTTTTCTTCCACCACTCTTGAATAGTTAAATTACTTTGGTGTGTGTTTGTTTTGGACCAATCAGTTCTCCACATTTTAGCCCTGTGTTGCGTTTATGCGTGCAGTGTTCCTGCTCGCTTGCGTATAATGGAGCCTTCCTGGCTGTGCGCGTAATCAGGTTAGCCCCAGTCCGCTTTAACTATGAGTGATGGCGATATAGGTCAGTCGCTTTGTGCGCGCATAGTGGAAGATCGTTTAAAAATGCCCCCTCACCCGCACTGCACACGTATGTACGCCACACACATTCAGACAGACGCACACTGTTGCGAACGTCGTCCCCTCACACATACAAGCACATGGACGTACACAAGCTAATAAAACACATCTTAAGTCCAGCCGGCAACAGTCTGCTCTTTATAAGAACTGAGTGCCAGTGACATGAGACCAAAGCAAATGAATTAGAGTGGAGGTTAAAACGGAGCGCACTGTCTGCTGCTATTAACCTGCGCATGGCTAAATGACCCTATTAGAACATGTGATGCACTGTGCCATTTAGACTGAATGGAGTTTGGCTACAGAAAATCACAATAATCTCCAGATGCTGACCGGCTATGGCCCAGACGAACCATTATTTGCGCTGTACCTGTCTGTTTCATGCGCAATCATTTCTCAAATCGTTCTGTTTAGATGGCGAGGTAATGAATAGAGTAACAGCATTTTTGGATGGTCGAATGCGTCGCAACGCCAGACAGCTCATCCTGTTCAAACTAGACTGGACTCATTTTTACATATTTCCACTGAAGGTTCTGGTGCTGTGGAGGCTCACTGAATACCATCAGGGCGTGACTCTGACCCTCTCAGCTATTAATGCTAAATGTCTTTATTATAAAAGAGTTTCTAATCATTTTGTGCTCAGTAAGGACACACTGTTATCTTCTCCTTCCAACTACATCTATTGATTAGCAGGCTAAAGCTATTCTTGGCATGCGAAGATTGAAAGTACCACTAGTATTGGCATCTGCAGCAAGCCAGACATATATCTCCAACTTTTCCAGATGACTTTGAAATGAAATATTGTGTTGAGACACATAAAATCTGTATCTTGTTTGCCCCCCTCCTTTTTTTCCCTTCAACATGTATATAAGACAGTGCCAATGTCATCAGTCATGTTCATGGTCTCTGCTGTGCTCCCATCTATCATTTTTTTAATTATCTTTTTTGTCTTTACTATGCCATATTTTATTATGCTGCTGACGACACCATAATTTCCCCCCCGAGGATTAATAAAGTTTCTCTCGATCCAGGATCTCACTTATCCGTAACTGTGAGAAGCTGCCAGCGCAGGAGCACTTTATCGTTCAGGAGTACCTAGACAAGCCCTTCCTGATGGAGGGCTACAAGTTCGACCTGCGGATCTACATCCTCGTCACTTCCTGCGACCCTCTCCGCATTTTCCTTTACAACGACGGCCTCGTTCGTATGGGCACAGAGAAGTACCATGCACCCAGCGAAGCCAACCTGGTGAGTGACAAATAATGAAGCTACTGTTATGCAGGTATTCACGCACACCTGCGCCTTTTTCTTGAGTTTGATAGAAGTGCATGGCACTG